TACATGCTTGGTTCTCAAATTCTGAATCATATAAAAGTTTTCTTATTTACTAATTTGGTCACTCTTCTGTCCATTTGCTAATTTTAGTATAGTTGTCCAAAGTCGAGATTTAAGGCTGCTCCAGCTATGTACTGTTAATTTAAAATCTGTGTAACTAACTAAAAATGGCTATGTTATCCATATTAATTAGTGGAAATTACACAAATCCAGGTGTTTAAAGATTGATTTTCAAAAATCAGTTTAAAAGTTTAATTATTCAAAAATCATGTAATAGTTTATATTTTGATTAATATAATAATATTATTAAAAATAATATTAATAACCCTAATTTTATCAATTCCTCACTTTCCTCTTCCTCCATTCTACCTCATTCCCCTTACTTTCATCCTCACTCCCTCCCACTCCCACTCTCTCTCTCTCGTCTCTCTGTCGTCTGACGCTGTCCCCGTTCACAGCGTCGCAACACCGCTTTGAACAGCGGCAGGTGGGTGGGTTGTGTTGTGTTGTGGGTGTGTGTGTGTGTGTGTGCTGTGAACGACAGCCGGCGAAGTGGAATTGTGGTGATGGTGTTGGGTCGGGGTGCAGTGGTCGTGTTGACACTGGTTGTAGTGGTGTTTGACTGCAGAGGTGGTGGGTTCAGATCTGATTGGTGGTGGTGTTGATAGTTTGTGGTTAGATGCGCCGGTGGTGGTGGGTGTGTGTTGTGGGTGCGGTGGTATTGGCGGCGTGGGTGTGTGGTTTTTGACCAGTCGTGGAGTGTGTCGTGGGTTGGTAGGTTCAGATCTGGTTTGATGGTGGAACTGATAGTGGCGAGGTGGTGATGTTGTGGTCGTCGTGGTGTGTTGTTATTATTGGTGGTGGTGGTGGTTGTGGTTGTGGCAATGGCAGTGGCGACAGGATGAAGAGTGTTTGTGACAACTATTTGGTTGATTTGAAACCAAGTATTTGTGTTAGATCGGGATCCGGGGGTTGGTTTTTTGGTGTATATGACCAACTATTTGGTTCTCTGTGACTAACCGTTAAATCGTGACCTTAAAATTTGATAATTTGTGAAAAAAAATTTGAAAATATGTGATCGATACATAAACTGTGACTTATAATTTTTTTTAATCTATGACCAACGAAATAATGTGACCAAAAATTTGAAAATATGTGACCGATGGATAAACTGTGATTTATAATTTTTTTGATCTGTGACCAATTAATTTGATAAGTGATCGAAAATTAATTTTTAACTAATTAATTAGACATATGTGACCAAATTGCATATAATTGTGACATTAACAATCGTCGAAATTGGAGCAGTCGTCGGAATTAAGCAGCTGCAGAACGATCACCAGAAAATTTACCGGAATTAAGCGCGGTTGGGGAACAGTCGTCGGAGTAGCCATCGAAGTAGAATGGCCACAGGAACCGTCGTCGGAGCAATAGGGGTAGTGGTGGTGGAGGTGGGGTGGGTTAATTATATTATATTGTAATTAAATATTTAATTAATTAATAAATACCTGATTTTTGCAATTTTGAAACTTAACAACTGATTTTTGCAATTGTCAAAGTTAATACCTGATTTTTGAAATCTTCCCTATTAATTATGTGGCATTCTCATGGTAGCACGGGGTTGGACAACTCGGCATCAATTGATTAATTGGATTGGGTCAAATCAATTAAGAAACTGATGTTGGCTTGGGCTTGGCCCACTACCTCACGGCCAATTTATCTCGTGTGTGTGTGTGTGTGTGTGTGTGTCAAGCTCATTGAATGTATCTGATTCGGTTCGATTCTAAAGAGCGAACCAAACCCGAATTTTCAAGTATTTAATAAATGAAAACGTTGGTTCAGGTTGCGCTCGATTCAGTTTAATTCAGTTTGGTTCTATTCGGTTCCTCGGTTCCGTACAATAATTAAATTTCTTATANTTAAACATAATATTATTAACCCTAATTTTATCAATTCCTCACTTTCCTCATCCTCCTCCATTTTATCTCATTCCCCTTACATTCCTCCTCATTCCCTCCCACTCCCACACACACTCTCTCTCTCGTCTCTCTGCCGTCTGACGCTGTCCCTGTTCACGGTGTCGTAACGCTGCTTTGAAGGGCGGCAGGTGGGTGGGTTGTGATGTGGGTGTGTGTGCTGTGAACGACAGCCGACGAAGTGGAGTTGTGGTGATGGTGTTGGGTCGTGGTGCAGTGGTCGTGTTGACACTAGTTGTAGTGGTTTTTGACTGCAAAGGTGGTGGGTTCAGATCTGATTGGTGGTGGTATTGATAGTTTGTGGTTAGATGCGCCGGTGGTGGTGGGTGTGTGTTGTGGGTGCGGTGGTATTGGTGGCGTGGGTGTGTGGTTTTTGACCAGTCATGGAGTGTGTCGTGGGTTGGTAGGTTTTGATCTGGTTTGATGGTGGAACTGATAGTGGCGAGGTGGTGATGTTGTGGTCGTCGTGGTGTGTTGTTATTGTTGGTGGTGGTGGTGGTTGTGGTTGTGGCAGTGGCTACATGATGAAGAGTGTTTGTGACAACTATTTGGTTGATTTGAAACCAAGTATTTGTGGTAGATTGGGATCCGGGGATTGGTTTTTTGGTGTATATGACCAACTATTTGGTTCTCTGTGACTAACCGTTAAATCGTGACCTTAAAATTTGATAATTTGTGACAAAAAATTTGAAAATATGTGACCGATACATAAACTGTGACTTATAATTTTTTTTGATCTGTGACCAACGAAATAATGTGACCAAAAATTTGAAAATATGTGACCGATGGATAAACTGTGATTTATAATTTTTTTGATCTGTGACCAATTAATTTGATGAGTGATCAAAAATTAACTTTTAACTAATTAATTAGACATATGTGACCAAATTACATATAATTGTGACATTAACAATCGTCGAAATCGGAGCAGTCTCCGGAATTAAGCGGCTACAGAACGATCACTAGAAAATTTACCGGAATTAAGCGCGGTCGGTGAACAGTCGTCGGAGTAGCCGTCGGAATAGAATGGCCACAGGAACCGTTGTCGGAGCAATAGGGGTAGTGGTGGTGGAGGTGGGGTGGGTTAATTATATTATATTGTAATCAAATATTTAATTAATTAATAAATACTTGATTTTTGCAATTTTGAAACTTAACACCTGATTTTTGCAATTGTCAAAGTTAATACCTGATTTTTGAAATCTTCCCTATTAATTATGTGGCATTCTCATGGTAGCACGGGATTGGACAACTCGGCATCAATTGATTAATTGGATTGGGTCAAATCAATTAAGAAACTGATGTTGGCTTGGGCTTGGCCCACTACCTCACGGCCAATTTATCTCGTGTGTGTGTGTGTGTATCAAGCTCATTGAATGTATCTGATTCGGTTCGATTCTAAAGAGCGAACCAAACCCGAATTTTCGAGTATTTAATAAATGAAAACGTTGGTTCAAGTTGCGCTCGATTCAGTTTAATTCAGTTTGGTTCTATTCGGTTCCTCGCCGTACAATAATTAAATTTCTTATATATTACAACAACGCGACATTAATTCGACTATGACATGTTCAATCTTAACTATTACAAAATAACGAAATTCAATCCGTGATATCTTTTGCACCCCTCTTAATTGAGTTATCCATAAATTTGACTGTTAAAATCACATGAAAAGGAAGACGGCAAGTTCACAATAATAGAACGATAGAAACGACACTACGGTAGAATAAGAGATTTTGGTAAAATTTAGGTCAATTTGATTAAATTGAGTTTGGCTGGAAATTAGAAATAATAAAATCACAGTTTGGGTTTGGACTAAATTAATTAGTTAGCAAATTTATTTTTTTTAAAATAATTATTTGACTTATTTAATATTAAAAAAATAAAAAAAAGGAAGATTCGGTTCTTCGATTTTTAGTCTAGAATCAAGCACCAAACCTATTGGTTCTCGATTCAGATACTCGTTCGGCTATTTAACTTAATAAGAATCGCTCAATTCAATTCGAATTAGGTTCGATTCGAGAATTTTGTCCTGACCTAATTGAAGGTAAGTTTTTTCTTCCTCTAATCAAATCCACCTCTCCTATCAATCTTACACAGTTGACTTGATCGCTGGAGTGCAAACGATTGTCGAACCTTTTTTCGACCGATAATTGTTGCATCTTAATGGCTTTTTCAGTGCGCAGATGAAGCTTAAGTGAACGAAAAGACGGTTGGAGTCTTATTAACCACATGATCGATGGATTTTGAGGTTAACAAATTGACGTCGTCCGTGAAAATTAGTATTGTTAACAATGTAGAAATCACGTGAGAAAATCGCTCAAAAAATTCCCATAAAGAAGTAAGAATAGGGATGGCAAAAAAATTCGACAAACTCGATACTCGCTGGGCCCCACCCTAAACGAGGCGGGGATAACCCGCTTAATCAGGTATTTGGGACGTGGAATTTTGCCCTGGGGCGAGGACGGGTAACGGGCACCCCGCCCCGTTAAAATTTTTTTTAAAAATTTTTTTTTTAGAATTCAATATTTTAAATGAAAAATTTCACGAAATTTCATTAGTTCTAATAGAAAATGGCAACTAAAATTATTTGATTAAATCTAATAAATAGGGACAATAAAAATAAATTATTAAAAATTTAAGAAAAAATTAACGGGGAAGTAAATGAGNGATTAATATAAATGAGTTTTGGCATCATTTTTTAAAAGAATGTTGCGAAAAACGCCCTTTTGCAACGTTTATGGAGTGTTGCGGAAGGTGAGACCTTTTGCAACGTTTATTAAACGTTGCGAAAGGTCTCACTTTTCGCAACATTTAATAAACGTTGCGAAATGGGGTCTATCGTAACGTTTATTAAACGTTGCGAAAAGGACCCTTATTTACAAAATTCCAACCCTTATTCACGCCTCCCTTATTAACCCCAAACCCAGCCCTTATTCACGCCTCCCTCCCCCATCCCTCCATTCATCCCATCTTCTGTGATTCTCTCGCCATAACCTGCCCTGCCTCCGCTCGAAGAGGCAGATCATCATGAAAACCCTAACCGGCCGTCGTGAAAGCCCTAATCGCGGAGGCGGAAAGAAAGACGATGGCTCCAGCACCGTCGTGTTGAAGCTGGACTTGAATTGCAAAGGCTGTGCGAAGAAAGTAAAGCACTCTGTTTGTTATTTTGAAGGTATAGGAAAATCTTAACCTTCTAGATCTCTGCTTTGTTTTTTTTTTCAAAATTCTATTGGTTTCTGAACATCTAATTTGGNNNGTTTCTGAACATCTAATTTGGTAAATTTTATTTTTCAATTCTAATGCCTAATTCTTTGGGTTTTTCGTGTTTTTTGTGTTATATTGAAGGGTTTGCGTCTTGTGGTGTTGTTCGTGTGATGGATGATAACAATTTGATGGGTAAAAATTTAGTGGATCTTGATTTGAACATAGAACATTTGGACCCACCTTTGAATTCAGATTCGAGATTTGGATCTATGTTGAATGAGTTGGAAACTACCCATGGTAGGATAGAGGAAAGGATTAGAGAGCTTGAAGCTGTCATTGTTCGTGCTGGGCAGCGCCAATTGCGTAATGCTGTTAAAATAAGCGACTTTTCTGGTGCACATGTGGATAGAGGTGGCAAGGTAACCTGTATTGACTTGTTGCGGTCACTTGTTTTGTTGGGTATGTTTTTATCAAGTATCGTATATTGATTCAACTTCTAAGGAATGTCCGGTTTGTAAAGAAGATGAATTCATGTTTTCTTGTGCACATTCGTGCCTCAGTGTAATGGAATCGATCTTCAAACGATGCAATGGTTGAGCTGACTCGCGCTCTTGACAAAAAGGTCATAGCATCTAATTGCTAATGTGATGTATATGTTGTTTTTACTCATTAACATTATTCCTTGCATGTTTTGCTACTAAGTTTGTGCTGTTGTGTATTTGAACAGTGTTTTTTTTCATTACAATATATACGGTATATGTGGTCACAATTGGAGCTGTTTGTTAAAATTAATATTATAGTGCTCCTGTGTCAATGTAACAAACTAGAAGAGAGCTCAATGTTCATTTTGTAACATGTAGGAAGCTATTGTTCTAGAGTTGAGACGCATGAATGATGATGTGTTGGAAAATTAGAAGGATGGCGATGGCTCTTTGAAGGAATCAGAGCAGTTCAAAAAGCAATATACTAGCAAAAGTGAGCAAAGTGATGATTCAGTATCAAAATCCCCTGTTCCACAACAAAATAGGCCAACAAAGGAAAGCCGAAACAAGAATTTCATCGAAAAACTCGAGAATCCCATGAAACCAGAACACAAATCCAGCAATCTTAATGTCCACAACCTCAACTTCTCCAACCGGAGCCAATATCAGGAATCATTCAGGTTTCAACCCAATTGGAACATCAGGAAAGTTGTATGAAGGTGGCGTATTACTAGTTTCTACTAATAGAGTCCGGTTCAAACATAGGTTGAAGTGTATGAGTTCAAAAATTTGTAATGAAATTAT